AACAGGAGCCATTTTGGCGCCAAATCTCTAATCTCCGACCAACAACTTCAGCCTGACAGACAGACGTCAGATTTCCATGGCTGTGATGAAACGTGTGCGATTGCATGTCGCCATGCCGCGTCTCAAAATGAATAATTGGTTCACATTTGACAGTATACACGTACCTCTCAGACGGAAAGCAAAATGGTGCAAGAGGTAGTTAAGCCTCGCGATATTACGCCAACTAAATTTGTCTACCATGGCTGTACTAAACTGTCAGACGCAACTCCTATCGGCCAGTAGGAATGGCCACCTCACCTTCTTCGTCGAACTTCAACCCTTACGCTATCCAGAACACTAACTATATACTCTTCGAATAATTGTGTGAACGGATTTATTCTATGACCGCCTGAGCAAGACATGGAATAGGAACTGTCCATAATACGTGTGGCTTTGCGCCAAATTGCGGAGAAATTAGATTTAGGGTTAAGATGAGTGTTAGCATTAAGTTATGATTTAGTTTAGGGTAGGGGTTAAGATTGGGAATATGGTAAAGGGTACGGTTTGGATTTGTTTAAATGTAGGGTTAAGGTTCAGGGTAGGCTAGAATATAGAGTAAGGTTGCAGTTTACTTTTAGGTGAGAGATAGTGTTAGAGAAAAGACATGGGAATATTTGATCTTTCTGAATTTTATAGCAAGGCCACCTATTTTAAGTCCCTGTCCCCGTGTCATGTTTAGGCGGCCAAATAAGCCATCTGGAATTTATCATGTACTATCTTTGTCTTGATCACAAATTTGAACGGCTGATGTTGTTCTCTCTGTATGTGTGTGTCGAATTGATTAATCAAATGTAGATTATGACAAGTAGTGGGTGACGGGTGGGACGTTTGTCTTGCTTATCAGCGTGCTCTTGTTAAAAGCTAGGTGGAATTGATGATAATTAAGGATGCTGCTTTGCACTATCTTAGAGTAGATACTAAAACGCGTATAGTCGGTAGGAATAAACAATTCAGCTCAAACGCTTCGGTTTCGCCGGATCCGCTTTCATTAATGCTATTTCGAAAATTTATGACCGGAGGAAGTGAGTGTCAGCGAGAATCGGTTCCCGACCCTAGAAGATGATTATTTGGGGGAAGAGATTCCTCAGTATGTTTTCACCATTAAGTTTCTTGAAAGTGCCCTATTAGCAGTTTGGAATGTCCCACACCGTCTAGGAAATAAGACCTAAAATCCCTTGAAAGCATAAATTGGGAAAAATATTCATTTTGGTCCCCTTTCCTATATGCTGAGGAGGTCTATAAACACAACGTCATTTATATAGTCAACGAAGTAGGAAAAGGAATGTTGCTGGAAAATACCGTCAGCCCCGATCTTCAGCAATTGGACAACGAGCCTTCGGAAAAGCACTAACATTGTCAGGGCGCAAGCTCCTCATAGCAAAGTTTTCATGTTTAGCCGGAGGAAGGAGTTAGTGCTGCCTTTCTTCAAGTAGGTCTGACACATTTGGATTACCAATAGACCGACTTCAAAAGCTGCATTAAGCTGTACTAAGGATATTCTCAGGCCTAATTAGCATGGTTTGCGGTACAATACCTTGCATTTCTCTCAGAATGGCTTTGCCATTACATTTTAACTTACTTGGATACAAAGCGCATCTTTGCCCTTCTTCGGAAACCCACTTGTGTAATCCGTGAGGTACCAATCATTTGATGTGATGAGCATTTGTCAACGACCAGAAACGAATTTGAGGATAAAAGCGAAAACCAATATTATAACAAGAGACTGCGAAAAAACACTAATCAGCCAGCCACTTAGTCACCTTTGACAAAGTTCTCCCCGCAGATATTCAATTTAATAGATATCAAGTTAAAAATTTAAATTTGAAGTAATTGTAGCAAATTCTTCGTTACTTATTTTGTGCAAGTATGGTGAAGTCCATTTCACGCCAAACTCGTGTGTGTTGAATTTACTATAAGCGATTATATTGAAGAGCCTGCTTCCCTTCAGCCAGTTCATCAGAAGTTCAAAGCTGGCCCCGAAAAGGCGTGCTCCGGGTAATTAACTCGTAATATTTTGCGAACTTCCTGCGTCAGCGTTTATAGGTCGGCTCCTAGGAACTTTGCCTCGCGTATTTAGATGCAGGCTCTGATAAACAAGAATAGGAAGCCGAGGAATAAAATTGGCTGTGCGCAAGCTGGATAAATATTTTTGCAACCTAACGCTCATCCTAGGCCTAAATCTAAACCTAAGCTTAACTGTAACCCTAACCTCGACACTGCCTGTAAATGAACGCAGGGCGCCACTATAGGGTAGGCGTCTATTCCCATGCCTTGCCCGAGCGCTTTCAGCTAAATAAAATCTTAATAAATGAGTGTGAAAATGTGCATACGCCTGTGTTGAGATGCGAAATGTGGCTTTCGAAAGCCTCAGTAAGATAGCGGCAACCGAATGGTTCACAAGCCCATATTTTGGTTTGTGTTTAAGGCGTAAATAATTCTTGCACGCCGCCCAAAGTCATTGGCGAAACAGAGATAATTTTCCGAATGAGTGAAAACGCTCGCGTTCCAGGCATTCGCATGGATAAGGAAACAAACTTGTCAAACACCGGAAGGGGAAGCAAGATTGCCAGGACCCCCTACCGTGGATACAAAGCACTACACTAATTGCTGACCCCGGAAGATCCATTACTTCACTGACAGTTAATTAACATATAACCCTATAATTACCTCCTCCCTCCTTTTCGGTTGCATTTTCTTACACCTCAACGACCCGAGGACCTCTAACTGTTGATTGGCGTGTGCCCACTATAATTACTGCCTTATTTGTCGTTACTTCTTATCTCTGAAGATGGTCTCTTGTTCGAGTTCGAAAGCTCAAGACAATAAAACAACGTCTCCGCTGCTCGAAAAGTCTTCTTTGTTATCCATAGAGATAATCTTGGGTTTATTCAATGTTATTAGGACAGTCCTCTTCTCACGTGTAACGCGCAAATGACGCATAATATAGGAAGTCAGCGTGCTTCCTCACCATGGTGCCTCTCATAGAACTTCAGAGCAATTACTTAATTGAACATTTTTGATGAAAATATGTTGTCACTCTTCCGAAACCCACTGCCAGTTATCCTGACTGCAATTATTTTAATCTCTCACAGGAACTGAAGCAATTTCCCCACTATCTATAATTAACAAGTTTCGCAGGTTTTTGACGAATAATATCAGTGTTTTGCACTCGACTTTGATGTAGGTGAATTGTGTCTTGCGCACAGATTTTCGCTCTTCTAGGGAGTGAACAATACTTCAGTAATAAAATTGCAATATGGGACTATAAGGATACCCAATTGGCTTCTCGTCCTCAGTTGGTTGCAGTTGTAAAATGCCAAGCAGGCGGAAATAGCTGTCGCTAGTGCGCTGACTACGGAGGCGTTTGCACTTAAAATGTGTGAAGTGCTCTTGAAAATCTGCATGCATTTAGAGACCGTTTTGTAAGACATTGTTCCAATAAGTCTCCTTGGGGCTTGCATAGACAATACAGCTGGTTATGGAGTGTAATTTATCTTTTTGGACGTTCTGCACTCAGTACTCGCCTTCAGTGTGTCGAGGTGGAAAGTGGGCGTCTCGGCCGTAAGCCGTAAGCCACACTGTCCCTAGAAGAGATGATTAGGAAACAGAACAATTGCAAACGCCTTCTTGATCCTATCTTCCCGGCTTTCTGCGATGCGGAAAACATACTGATACAAATCATCCGCGCCGTTTTTCCGCCTAAAACAACTAAACCCAAAAGCCGAAAATGGTGGCCGATGACAACCAGATGTGCAAAGATTTTTGCTTCATCTTAGTCTCCAGATGCGCACCAATAGTCTCCTCCAGATGTTCCATTTTTAAATCACCGTTGCCAGCACTATGGAGGCGAATGATTGCGTAGATACCTTTAACGATAGCTTGCAAATATCACAATCGCCGAACCCAGCAAAGCAGTAGCTCGGAGGGGGTTTGATCATCTTATACTGCCTACTGAAGGTCCAAGTTCACACATAGATTGGGAAGCATATTAGCTGCCCCCATTTGCACCTAGTATGACATTGCGCAGGAGAGTATCTAGGTTCGTGTCCTAACCCTAACCTAAGAATGAACGCTATTAACCCTAAACCTCCAGCACCTTTTCTACCTTCGGTATGTACGTATTACCCTACCCTACTCACGATTTTTCTGGGCACTCACCAGTTACCATATGACCGCACGTCTTTTGTCTTTGATAAGTGTCCCCCACCCTTTTTACTATGAAACAGTCGTGGTTTCTGGCTTACTTCGGTCTCTAAATTCGTCGAGGTTGTCAGCGGGAGAATGAGTTACTTTGCTTGGCAGAATTCTAAAAGGTCGCTCGGCTGTCTTGATCTTCGGAAATGTAGTTCCAAACTTAGAATACCACCAAATCTGTGTCATTCCACCATCAGAGACAATAAATAGGTTACCACCCCTATCCATCTTTGAAAAAGCAAGAAAGCAAAAGACAATCTGCAGCAGTGGGCCAAAAAATAAAATACGTAAGGAGCTCTTCAAGAACAAGCCTTGTAGTGACCGAATAAAGGCCAAAATAGGAAACACCGGCAGGTCCCCGGTACACGGCTACAGCAGGAAGGGAGACAGGCGAGCACCGCGCGACTGGGGCGAGAAAGGCGGAAAAAACGGAGCCGCAAAATTCGGGCAACTGACGTGGCAAGAGCAGGGACGAAATGCATTCAAAGGGCAAGGGGTTAGATCGGTTGAGGGCTGTATATTTACCTGTTGGGGGACGTGTTTTAAGGCGGAGCTTGTGGGGAGACGGAAGTAAGTGGGGTGTGGCTGGTGGACGGGAACATGTACAGTGGCACCGCAACCCCATTTAGCAGTACTCCTCGTGGTTGGCGAGACGGACTACTAGAGGACGAAAC